AAGGCATCTTATAACGGGCTTCAGTCTTTTGCAAAGAATGGATATTCTCCACTAGTTACAGTTAAGACAAAAACTAATCTTATACCTTTGCTTATTTGAAGGTTGCAAAGCTGTACCCCAGTTTTGCTTCATGCATTAAGAAGGGGCACTAAACTCACCCTCTGTGACATCTACTTAACTTCCATCTCATTTTCATTTCTCTGTGGCTGGTCACAGCCATGGCTATCAGTTTACTGCAACAGAGTGACAGAAAATCAGTGGAAGAATTACCCAACTACCTAGGCAATAACATCCTTGACTTTCCGTAATGTGGTGTAGAAAATTTCTGGAGGATTACCAGGACTGGCTAGTTGCAATAACATGGGGTATATGCTTCCTGGAATTTGCTGGCAATCTTATTTCCTTGAAAATACCACCAATCATATTACAAGCAGCTACAAATAAACAAACAACTCCCCCCAAATGATGACTTTTTCTGGGGGGGAGGGTCTCATGGGCAGTGAGTTACCATGCAATCAAGCAGAGAAACAACTAATGTCTTGGATCATTTGTGGCAAAGTCCAGGGTGAGCTATTTTTTAGGGATCACATGAAACAATGGAGATCACAAAGTAGCCTGATCTTCCTCTGTGCCCAAGCTGGACCTTTTTGGTCCAGCAACAGGATTCTCCACTTCTTAAGCCAGGCTGAAGATGGAACGATCACTTTTGATTGCTCCCAGTGAATCTAACCTTCTGGGGTAGATTTTTTGGTATTATGCAGGACTACAGAAGGAGGATGAGGGGAACACAGTCTTTAGGCAGTCTTTCTTCTGTTGGCATTTGATACCAAAATACACAGAGAGATCTTAGCCAATAGAATCAGAGCCATAACAGAAAGAGGGCCTCACGATGTCTAAAGATTCTGTTATAGGAAAGAGTTGTACACTACTGAATCTGAAAGTACTTCCACAAGAAAATATATCCCCAAATCAACATGCAAAGAAGATCTGTTTACATGAGTTTTAAAAATAAACTCTCGATTTCTTTAGTTCCCCATTTTGATAATGTATATATCCACAGTTGATTGTATTATTAAGTTTTTAGTAAGTATATTTTTATTGTATTTTACCATTTTTTGTAAGCCGCCCCAAGTAGACTTTGTCTAGAGGGGCGAGGTATAAGTCTAAATAAAATAAAAAGTAAAGTTAAATGTATATGTGGCAAAAAAATTACTTTCGCTGCCTTCTTTTTCAGTCCCCTTATTCATTGGTTTTATAATAAAGATGCTATAGGACTTTTCCAATGTCACATGTAATTTTGTTGATTCAAAAGAAAATTAAGGCTGCAACTACACTGGCTCTTTTGGCACAGGTTGGTGCTACCTAAATAGGATGACCTGAGGTTGGGGAAAGGAGCAATATGCCATTTGGTGTGATCCTTGCATCCAGATGGCATGCTGACCTCAAGTGACTCTATTGAGTCCAGCTCCCTTTGCTGCTAATTTCCGGTAGCCCAAGCATTTTTCTGGGTAGACCAGACATGTTGCATTGTCATGTCCAGCCACTGGGGGGATGTAAAACCATTGCTGGCCACATGGTACTCTCTTTGTTTCCTGGTGCTTGTCTCTCCCACCCACCTTGTGCTGTTTGGAACCTTTCTTGAAATCTTGGTTATAAGTAGGTATCTGGACAGATGTGATTAGTCAATAAAGAAGTGGGGTATACCTTTAGGTTCATGCCACAGCTTTGTTGGAGGCCTTTTGGAAGCACGGGGATGGATCCAGATAGTAGTAAGATGAGCATTGCAAGTGTGAGATGCCCTCCATGGTTGAGCTCCTTTGTGGGGTGGGGCAGGGAGGTTATGAACATGCCCCTTCTGGAGGTTGCTGTGCCCCCACACCCTGGGAGACAGGCAGGGCCATGCAGTGGCCTACATCCAGTGGCTAGCCATTTGTCTGTCTCCCTGGTATGCATCAGACACCAGGCAAGCTGATGAGGATCTGGCCCCTATACTAGCATTAGGAGTATTGGCAGCTGTGACTAATAAAGTTGTGGCCAAGGTTTTTCAAAAATGCCGTATGTGAGAGTGTGTGAGAAAGTTTGTGGTATTTGATCTCCAGCCTTGGGAGCACACCATCAAGCTTGCTGACAAAGGACCTACAATTGGGATGTTATAATGGAATGGAAATAGATTTCAGAACATGTAAATTCAAAATGAATTTCTATGAGTTTGCAAGAGAACTTTTGCAAAATACTCTTTCAATATACTTCATAAATTAGAAATTACAGTGGTGCCTCACGAGATGATTGCCTCACAGGACGATTAATCCGCAAGACGATTGTTTTTTGCAATCGCTGTGGCGCTTCGCAAGATGATGTTTTATATGGACGATTTTCGCAAGACATCATTTTTCCCCATTGGAATGCATTAAATAGATTTCAGTGCATTCCAGTGGGGAACCATGTTTCACAAGACGATGTTTTCACAAGATGACGTTTTTCGTGGAATGAATTAACATTGTCTTGTGAGGAACCACTGTATATTGAAACAGTTGCTACTGGGAAAATAGTGGAGATGTAGTTCACAACATGCACATATACTACGTATATATTGGTCCTGTTTGAAGATATGATTTTTCTTTTCTTTTTTGGCATACTGTGATTGAATGTATTAATAATGCATTAAGCATAAATATCTCATTAGACCCTAAGATAACTTATATAAAAAAGACTGATAAACAAATCAAATATCAACCTGGTCTCAGGTCTATTTGCTATGGCAATAAACTGGAAGAAGGAAGAGCCCTCTTCTGTAAATGACACGTTTAACATCACCTAAACTGATATATTAGAGGGTGCAAAGAAATCATTTACAAGGTACACATTAGTTTTTATGAGTAATGGGAAATATTTGTTATGCATTGTACTGAGAAGTGAAAAAATGAAACATATCCTTTTTCTTTTCAGAAATTGGTGTAGAAATCTGTATTGTTCTCTCTCTCTCTCCTTTTTTAAATAATAAAGTTTGAAAACATTAGTAATAACAGTAATAATAAAAGGTCCTCTGTTTTAAAATGGTGTGGCATGGTGATGGGGATAGAGGGTGGACTGATGCTCAGATCCCATGCACAACTATAGGTGTATGTATAAATGGATGGTTCCTATATAGAGATGGGGATGAATATAAAAATGGGTCACTTTTTCCAACGAATATAGCTGATTCGTTAAATATTCATCGATCTGTATTTGTGGGTTTCAGAGACCCCCATGAATATGAAGGGATGAATATCTACCCATTTTTATTCATCCTTCGTATTAAAAAACAAACAAACAAACAAAAACACCATTTTACCTACCGGCCGCCAATCAGCTGATCGGAGACAGAAAGGCAGCTACCACCCCACACAGCTACCCAATACCATCGCCTACCCCACCCCTTCCTTTCCCTACCTTAGGCCTCACACCAACCCATGCCACCTCCATCGTCACCCTCTTACCTTAATCGCTGCTGCCGAGATCTTCTGGCCTCAGAACCACACATGTTAAAATGGAGACTGGCTGCCCTTTGCAAAGATGTGGCTGCAGCTTCATTTAGGGTAGGGAAGCTGCAGCTGCCATCTTTGCAAAGGGCAGCCTGGATTCTCTTAGCCTGCTTTAGCTTTCCTGCAAATTTGGTGTCTCTAGATGGTTGGGGGCCAGTGTTATAGCTGTTTAAAGTGCAGACAAATCGACAGATCGATTGGTCAATTCAATCGAAGAATAATCATATATTTTTATTCGTTGATCCATTAACCTTGAAGAATAATGGATCAAAACAAATCGCCAATTTTTTTATTTTTCCCCATGTCTATTCCTATATATAATATATTTACTTGTACATGTAAATACAGCGGTGCCTCGCATAACGAGTGCACCGTTTAACGACGAATTTGCATAGCAATCCGTTTTTTGGGATCGCTAATGCGATCGCATACTGATGCTTTCTATGGCCGAAAATCACTTTGCGACGATCGGTAAGCGTTTTGCTTACCGATTTTCGCATAGCGATTTTTAAACAGCTGTTTGGCGGTTCCAAAATGATCCGCCAGACGCCCAAAATGGCCACGCGCAGCGTTTTCGCGCCCTGCCCTCGCTTACCGAGGGCGCAAAAATGGCGGCCGGATGGGGAAACATTGCAGAACGGTGAGTTTTGGGCCCCATTGGAACGCATTAAATGAAGTTTAATGCGTTCCAATGGGTTTTTCCGTTCCGTATAGCAATGTTTCCCCATAGCGACGGTTAATCCAGAACGCATAGCGACGGTTAATCCAGAACGGATTAACCTCGCTATGCGGGGCACCACTGTATATGGGTTTGGTATGAACAAACACCTATCTGGATCCTGTGGGCCAGGCTGCACAAATATTTATATGAGTCTTTGTATCACCTTCAGGAACCTGACAATTGATGGGATGACAAACAGTATGGCAGTTGATTGTAACTCTTTCCCTCAAAGGTGGATAAAAGCCTTAGCTTTGGCTGGACCATGGGCATACTCAACTGCAAACTGTGCAATTTTAGAAACAGTTTTCATAATTCAAATATCCAGATTATCATCATGACAATTACTGAATTTTCTTTTTATAGGAATGCTTTTTTGGGGAAGTGGCTTCTTCTAGATTGTGTCCTAGAACTTGTCCAACAGCCTCATTTCATGTCAATCAGCAATGGCCCAGTTAGGTGCAAATAAAGCATTTAAACACCTTTGTCAACAGTGCTGGGGAAAACCCATCTTGGATATATTTTTATTATGGAATTTATGCAGTAGCAGACTTAAAACATAGTGTTTCTAGGTCATTGCTATATGAACCATATCAGCAAATTTCAGCCATTTGACATGTATGGAGGTTGTTGTTGTTGTTGTTGCTGTTTGTGCACAAAAAGTTCCCTCCACGTACACAGATTTTCGGAGTGCTCATTCATCCCAGCCAGAAAGTACTGAGATTTTTAAAAAAGTCGATTAACCTTTGTTTGTTTGTTTGTTTGTTTGTTTATTTGTTTGGAAGCTACAGCTGATCTATAGAAGTAGACTTAAATGTTCATGGTCTGACATCATATACAGAGATCTAATTTGGCACACTTACTACCCCTAACCCTGGTTTAGGGCAGAAAAAAAGTTTCATAGAGTGTTCAGTAAAGTCTTTCTGTCAATCCTTTCAGTGAAGAATGGAATGCACAGACAGATCCAAAACATATGCACCTGCAATTAATTCATGAAAGGACACTTAATTTATAATAATCCATTTTGCATTAATTCCATGTTATTTCAATAATTTTAAATTTAATTCACCTCCAAATTATGTCCAACATCTCCTCCACCTTCATATCCAAGATATGAAGGTAAGAATACTTACTGGAAGCCAATTGCAATGGACAAGTGACAGGGGCTGACAGAAAGTCTAGACCGCTGACTCTTACTCTCTTCATCATGTATAATGTGATAAGATATTTCCCTATTGCAAGCAGCCTTGGAAATCCTAGCATTAATCCAAGACTTGCTTATTTTGTCTATCATGATTGGCAACCAACAAACTTCTTCTTACAGAGTAGTACTGAAACATGACTAGGAAAATCCGTGGGATCTCACTAAGTAAGTTGTTTGTGGGTTGTCTCAGTATGAAATATTTTGTGTGAATTTTTTTCTGTGGGCTTAAAATGTGCCCTGTGCTTGTTACAAAAAACATTGGCAGTGCCCTTAAATTGAGGAAACGTGCTTCATCACTTAACAGGGACCCCTCTTTAGCACATAGTTATAGTTTCTGAAACAAGGTAGGTATTTTCCAATAAAGGAGATTTTAAAGTGTAGTAGCATCTCTGTTAATATGGCACTTATCCAAAGACATTTGGAATCCCTTTGAATAGATTTTAAAAATACAAGTGATTTAAAAATAGTAGCAAGGAACTTCAAAGAATACTTTACCATTATATAATACTATGTATAAACTTGTCGGCAGTAAACTTGTAGTCTAGAACACTGTGATTTAACTTTGCAAAAGTTGTTTACTTCTAGTTATGAACAAGTAGAAATGCTGTGTTGCAGGTACTGTATCTTCATTGGCTGTCATTCTTCTATTCCTTTGTGACTTTGCATAGCAAGTCAAATACAATTTCCCCTTTCCATGTCCTTATGAACCAATCAGTATTTGTATATTGATTTGTAGCACAGTACCAGGAAACCAGGGCTGTTATGCACTGGAAATCTTAATCTTGCTTTTGGTGAATGTCCTCATGCCTAACAATTTTGTAGATGACCCAGTAAAAGATGTTGAATATCAGAAAGGCTAATGGAAAACAGGCTCGGGATATGGTGTCAATTTTCTTGGCCCGATCAATGAATACCTTCCTCATTTCTTCAGGGCTTTTTGGTATAGGCTGAACTGGATTATTTGGCCCCTTCGGAGCCACTCCATCTTTTGCTTGTATACATGGTGGGCCCATTCCATAGCCTGTAAAGCTAAACCGATTCTCCCTCATATCATCGTCCTGTAACAAACAAACAAACAGACAGACAGACAAGCATGAGAGATTTTTTAATGGGACATTTTAAAAATCTGGATTGTCATTCCAGATCTTTCATTTTTATTCCAAAAATTTGGAAACTTTAACCCCTTACTTCCTTTTTAAAATTTCTTTCAGCATTGTAATCTGCTATTGTAAGTGCAGTAATTACAGGAACCCAATGCTTCTCAATCTGTATTTCCATCACAGTCATAGTTCTATAGGATTCTAAACTACTCATTCACATGTACGTACCTATCTGGGAACTATTAAGAACAACCATCTCCTCTTGCTTTAAGACTGCTGAAGAGTAACATGAATGTGGTTCCATAAACACATCTAGAAATAACTTTGTTAACTGGAAGTGTATACTGGATTGGTAAATTAGGTAGACGTGGGGCAGGGGGTTGGTTATCATCACATTGTGGAAACAGAGTATAATATTGTGCACTTTTCCAAATGACTATTGTGACTTGAGACTTTATATCCAGATGTGAAAGAAGTGGGTTGTTAGCAGAACATAAGAAAGCTCCGTTAATCATTAGCTCATTGACCTTAAGATAATTAAGATTTTTTTCAAAGACTGTATGACACCAATGAATTTTCAAGAAATATTGGTTTCAATATGCCAAAGATTAAAAGATATATGTACTGGGAAAAAATGACAGAAACCTTTCAATTAGATTCTTTGAATGTTCTATTTGGTACAATTGTTTATTTCTTCAAAGAGGCCTTTTAATGGCACGGGGGAGGGGAGAGACAAAAAAAAATCAAACTCTGAAAAAATGTGCTAATTGCAGTATAGTAAGAATCTCTAATAGGGGTCATTTTGGGAAAAGAAATCATTTGGAACTGGCAGTTACAGGAGCTGGAAGGGGAAACTGTCAGGGGCTTTTTTTGCTGTGCTTTTATGTTCCTCATTTTTTCTTGGTTGTGACTGGCATCATCATTGTTTATTGGTGTTTCCCAACAAGTTACTTTTATCCTGTGGTAAAGTAGATAAATTATGAAAATATCAAAAGAGTTCTTTACTCCAAAAAAAGTCACTCTACTGGACCACAGTAATTCTGGAGAAGAAGCATTTGTCCTATAAAGCTGACCCCACTGTGGTAGATATCAGTTCTCTAAGTTGAGACATATACAAATTGGAATAGGAAAAAGTTGACCAATCGGTGAATCTTTTGCAAAATGATACCGTGTTTCCCCAAAAATAAGAAAAGGTCTTATATGAATTTTTGCTCCAAAAACGCATTAGGGCTTATTTTCAGGGGATTTTTTTTCATGTACAACAATCTACATTTATTCAAATACAGTCATATCATCTTCTGGTTGGTGCTCAATGGTGGAGGGCAGGGTTTCAATTAACTGGGGCTTATTTTTGAGGTAGGGCTTATATTACAAGCATCCTGAAAAACCATCTTACGTCTCATTTTCAGGTTAAGTCTTATTTTCGGGGAAACAGTAATGTGTGAAAATAATTTTTAAAAGCAGTTGAAAGATTTGAATCAAAAGGAGATAACCAGAAACATCTGTGATTTTTTTTCAAGAAAAGAAAAATCAACATATTATTTATTTTCCTAGGGTGCCCAAAGAAAGAGTACTGTGGTTAAATTTAAAGGAGTGCTCTTTTAAAGAGATTTTATAGTGCTTTTGATGAGCCTCATGGTTAAACTGCAGTACTTCAGTCAAGACTCTGCTCATAACCTGAGTTTGACCTTGAGAGGCTCAGATAGCTGGTTCGAGGCTGACTCAGTCTTCCATCCTTCCCAAACTGGTAATTTGAGTACAGTGGTGCCTCGACTTACGAACTTAATCTGTAACAGAATGGTGTTCATAGGTCGAAATGCTCGTAAGTCGAAGCACCATTTCCCATTGAAATGCATGGGAATGGGATTAATCTGTTCCAGCATTTTAAAAAAAAATACCAAGATATCTGTTCCAGCATTTAAAAAAAAATACCAAGATAAAAAAAATGAACAGATCAAGTCACATCCTAGGACTGCAAAAAAATCCCACAAATCCAAAAATAAACATTGGAGCAAATCCCACGCTCAGACTGCAACAAAAAAAAACAAACAAAAAAAAACCAAACAAAACAAAACAACACAAAAATGTAACCCGAAAAATCACCAAAAAAACAAAACAACACAAAAACGTAACCCGCCCAACCCAAACCTACCGTCCAAAACCCACCCAGAACAACTTTTTAAAAAGGAAAAAGCAGCACTTTACCTGTCCGAAGCCTCCTGGGCTTCCCCGCTGCCACGACCGCCACCACTGGAGACTTCCCAGGGTTCCCTGCTGCCATCGGAGACCTCCTAGGGTTCCCCACCACCGTGACCGCCACCACCAGTGGCCTCCCGGCATGACTGGGAGGCCTCCGGTGGCGGTGGTTGCAGTGGCGGTGAAGCCCAAGAGGTCTCTGGCGGCAGTCGCAGCGGCAGGGAAGCCCGGGAAGCCTCCAGCGATGCCAGTCACGGCAGCAGGGAAGCCCAGCAGGCCTCCAGTGGCAGCAGTCATGGCGGCAGGGAACCTCGGGAGCCCTCTAGTGGTGGAGGTTGCAGTAGCGGGGAATCCCAGGAGGCCTCTGGCAGCGGTGGACATGGCAGCGCTGGAAGCCTGGGAGGCTGAGCCCAGCCGGGATGATCTGGCGGCTCGCCTCCCAGCGGCGGCAGCAGCAGTGGTGGAAGCCTGGGAGGCTCAGCCTCTCTTTTCCTAACTGTTGGGGCAAAAGAGCTACAAAGAAGCAGCCTCTTCACCACCAACAGTTTGAATTTCCCACCTTTTTCCTCTGCCTTTTTCTGTTCTTCTGGCAAAGCTTCGCTTGCAAGTCTAAGCAAAATTTTGCGTTCGTAAGTCAAAATGTTCATAGGTATGGGACATTTCTAAGTCGAGGCACCACTGTACATCTTTCTGGGGTGGAGGTGGGGGCAGTGTTTAGCCTGAATAATTAAACTGTAGACTGCCCAGAGAGATCTTTAGGCACCATGGGTGGTATATTAGCAGCATACTTTGCCTTGCTTTGCTTACCTTTTTCTAAACTAGATGCCCAGTCTACCCTTAAACTGAATTAAAAATAGTGAACATCCAGTATTCAAATAAAATCTAAGGCCAGCAGAAAATTATTTTCAAAACCTGCAGATGGAGCCAAACCAATTCAAAAAGAATGCAACCTGAACAGAAGCAATATTTTTCTCTGTTAAACAAAAAACATGACTGGCCTGCTTTTGCTACAGTTCCTGCTGCCCTTCTAGACAAACCAAAAGGAATGAACAAACTATAGACTGCTAACTAACAAAGATGAAGAATAACAAAAATACAAAATAATAATAAGATGGAAATGTTAATGACATGATTTGTACCAATGATTTGTATCAATTTTAAAAGAAAAATAAGTCTTGGTTTTACTTCCAATCCTGGAAAATATTACTGGGAAATAGTATAGTTATTCATAGCTAAAGCCTTAGACTGAGTGTGATTGCACTTGGACAACAAATTAAAAATGTGTTGGTCTTATTAACACAGAATAAGTCTACTAAACTATAATTTTACCATGTGTTGATACCAATTTAGGTAACTTGCTTCCTCCAGATGTCATAGGACTGGCTTTCCTACCAACCCTCACTTGTATAACCAGTAGTGAAGCATGATGGGGACTCTGGTCCACAAGCTGCACAGTTGTGCTCTATTGAAGACACCATTATCAAAATCATATTGTGATTTCAATATCCAATTTGAAGACGTTGCCTGTTTTGTTATTCTTAATATTCCTTATTGAGCTATCTTTTTCTTGAGCACAACACAGGAACTGCTATTACTGACACTGATCTTATCTGCTTGCCACTCAGATGATGTAGCAGTGAATCAAACTACCTACTTCTATAGGGGAAATATTTCAGATGAAATTGTTTTAAAGGTAGATTCCACCCAATGTAGACATTGGAGTTGCCTTCTAAGCATAGTGATTTCTGGTGGCTACACTATTCAAGATCAGATGGCAGTTTCTTCTGCAACTCATGGCAATGTGAATCAGCAATCTTTGTGTGGTGCTAGAGATTTCTACACACAAGTGGTGGGACTTGATGTGGGAGCCCAAACACTTTCTAAAGCTATTTATTACATTTTTCCATAGGAAAAAAATGGACATGTGAGCAGGTTTTTCTCAGTTGAAAAAGATAATTATTATAGCAAAAAGATTAAATGATACCTAGTACTTACTATCAAGTAAACAGATGTAAGATTGCAGCCACAATGTGTTAATTTTTGAAACCACACCTTGCTGTTGAGGACAACGGAATATAAATTCTGTGTTAGAAAGCAATCAATTTTAATCCCTTTGTGAAATAAGTATGCACCTTAAGAGTGCATGTTTATCATTACATGGAAGTAGTATGGAAATTAACAGAGTTCACACGGAATATGTTAGTTGAGACAAATGGACTGGGCCTTTATAAATGACCGAGTATCATGTTATGACAAATGGGACATCCTCTACATAGTTTACCCTTAAATTTATATTGTAGATTTGAGCCAAGGTCCTGTCTGTGAGCTCTGCACTTCTCAAGCCAATGCTGTGCTGCAAGGATTCACTCATTTCATTTCCATCAAGCATTCCCTTATTAAACTTCCATGAAAATGGAAGGTGGAGCACAAAAGAAAAAAAGGGGGGGAGATATGATTATCAATGGAGAAAAAGATATAATCAACCCAGTACACCAATTTATTTGGACACTGAAAAATGAAATAGTATTGGCATTTAGAACTTCAGTTAAAAAATTAAGGCTTCTGAAAAGTAAAGACTATTAAAATATAGTTTTTGACCAAACTGGGGTTTTCCCCAGCCTGAGTGCAAAATTAGTATGCATGCTTGCCTCTTTTAAAGTGGAAATGTCAACAGGCAAAGCAATACCCATAAGTATCAATTATGTATGGTATATCTCCAACTTGCTCCCTGCACTGTCTTGTATGTGCTTTTTAAAGGACACAATGGGTGCAAATTTTAGTTTTATTCATCGCAGATATCTTTAGATCCAGCTCATAAGTATGAATTTACTGAAAATAATTTCTTGAAAGGTATTGTGAAATGCCTTTTCTACAATGCTTCCAAAACTTAGGTAAAAAAAAGGGCAGGAAAGGGTTTTTTTTCCTCTTTTTTGTTTGTAAGTCAAGGCTCTGTTTGCAAGTCGAAGCAAATTTTTGCGAATGGAGCCATTCGTAACTCAGATCGTTTGCAAGTGGAGACATTCTTAAGTCGAGGTACCACTGTAGTTGGTGAGCAAAACAGCAGTCCCACTGTCTGTGCCTGCTTCTAGATTTTATAGGTGTAGACAGACATGACTTATTTGTTCTCATCCCAGCCCCTCCCTGGGGAAACCCATGGCAATCTCATTCAGGAGACACTGAGTTCTCTGGCTCCGCTAACCTTGGTGCCAGAGTGTCTTTAAATTTCATTTCTTAAGAGATAACTCTGGGATTATTGAGAAGTAGGTTTCATTTTCATTTCTTCCTTTAGTAAGCAGAAACCAAGCCTTTTGCTTTGTAATTATAGGAGTAAATGGGACTCCGAATATTAGGAATTATTATTAGATATTCAGAGCTATCGAATTCACATTTGGATGTATTCAAAACTATCAGAATATTTCCAAATTCACATGCACATCCCCCATATTGTTCCTCACCACAATTCACCTACAAGATTTAGTACTGTTGTATCTGAAATTTGATTCTGTGCTTAACAGATAATTCCTGTGAGACATTTAAATCAGAATTTGGCAAAAATATATCCTTTCAGATGCTGCTCTACTGTATATATCATCAGCTCAATGGCGAATGATTGGAGTTGCGGTCTACCAGCTTCTACAAGTGTTCACTTTACTCACCCCATTTTAAAGTGTTGTTTCTGATATTAATTAATGGAAATAAATAATACTAAATCGATTCATCTACACTCTTGCTGCTAAAATCCTGATTAGATAACACTGAACGGCCATTTTTTTTCTTTTCTGTTTTTCCCCTCTACTTTCACTACATATTGAGGAAAAGGGAGTTAAAACCCAGAGCTCAAGAGCTAGCAACTATGCAAACACTACCAGAAGAGGCATAAAGTAAGCAGTAACGTTTACAATTATCTGAGGGTAAAGGGAATGGGAAAAGCAGAGTAGGATGCTGCAGAGTATTAATGAAATTCAAGTCCCTAGTTGGTCTACCAAACAGAATATCCATAGCTTTTAAAAACAGAAGTGGTTAAACGATTTGACTAAGGTTTGCTGAAATCTATTTGTCTTACATAGATATTTCAGTAGGGTAAAGGCTCTCAATTCTGTGGATTCTGGAACAGTCATAATCTGGATGATGGAAAGCCATCTGGTAGTGGTGTTAAATACATTGACTGGGTCATCTCCAACCTCATAAGCCTATAAAACTTCTCAGTGTACATGTATTTAAAATTGTATCCCATCTTGTATTGAAATGAAAACTGGTAATTAACTCTTCGTAACAGGGAAGAAACAAAGCCGTCTCAAGCGTCCTGTGCCTGAAATGTTTTTCTGTAGTTGACTGGCAAGAAAGAAAAAATTCAGTCTCAAAATATAAGGGTATCGCATTCCTCATTCCATTAGTCACTTGTGTCCAACAGACCTCATCAGCCACAAGAAGCTGCTGGAAAGAAAGTCATGCAAGCTCATCTAGTCGTTGTCCTTCTCTCTCCCCCCCACACACATCTAAGTTGGCACATTGATCTGTCTGTTTTCTCCCCGTTTCTCAGGCTCTGTTCAGCCCCAGCTAACTTGGCATCCTGCCAGACATTTCTGTGAAAGCATAAAAGTGGGGGAGAGACAGCACCAAAGTGTAAAACAGCAAAATATCTAAAAAGAAGGGCTATGTCTCCTAGTGGAGATTTTAAAATGAGAACGTACTATCATGCGTAATATGAGCAACACATTTGGACAGGAATTTTTCTTGGGGCCAAACCTTCTTGCACAGTCTTGTTTCACGAATAACAGCTACAAAATTCACTGTACAAGCAAAAATGAATTCTTCTTCCCTTTCTGCTCCATTTTCTCTCTCTCTGAAGGATCAATTTCAGGCACCTTTCTTTCCTATGACACAGCCATGTTTGGGAAATTTTATCCTAACACTTCGGTTATTTCTTGAGCAGCACATGGTTCTATTTTCTGGTTATTGCGCAACTATTTAAAGGAGGTTATGAATCAAAGATTAATGCCCCTCAAATTTGTAAATCGACATCTGGCATCCAGTTCTAAATACTTGCAATGCCTGCCTACTTGGCCTGAATTTTTTTTTCCTTGTCTCTCTAGAACAGAAAAGTGGCAACAACATACTTTTAAAAAAACACACAACCCTATAGATGTCTTGGTGTTGTTGGTGTTTGTTAATTTAGAAAAACTCTGAATGCATTCGTAAAGGTCTTCTATCTGACCACTGTAAGAAATTATTGTAACACATATCAGCAATTTCCATTATTAAGGGGCTATCTGCTAATATTTTTAGCCGGGAAAATTAAACTGTGTGCAGAAAGCTTCTTCATGTCTCTCCACTTAAATCCCTTTTAATCCTTACTCTGGAGGTTTCAGTGGGATTTGTGAATTGCAGAGGCCTTTTGCTGACCCTATGCAAAAGACAATATGTCATCTTGTGTTAATATGTTCTTTGGACAGACACATTTTAAACAGTACGCCATTGTTACAAAGCAGAAAGCCCTTGGGCTGCCCATGTTCCTCTAACCTGCACTTGTCATATTTACCTTGTTCTTCTTCCTCTTTCGGTGAAATCTCAACAGTTCTTTATGCTGTCTTGACACAAAGTTTACAGCTGCATATTCCAGAAGTGCCGAGAATACAAAAAGCAGGCAAACAGCCATCCAGATGTCAATAGCCTTGACGTATGATACCTATGCATAGCAAAGAGCAGAGGGTTACTGGTATTAGAAACACAGATGGGAAGTTTAGTGTTTCTGATGGTCTGAGGCAGAGAAATGAATTTTTTACAGCAAAATGGAAGCTAGCAATATCAAAAAGGGCAAAAGACAAATCTATATTCCTCCTAGAAGAAACATTTGATGAATAATTCTTTACACTAAAGATCTATCTGAAGACATTCTGTGCTGTTGCATATAAAATGCTTAGGGTGATACACAGCAAAGTTAAATTTTCTCTTCTACACAACTATTAAAGATAGAAGTTCTATGGCCACTTTCATCTCCCTTCTCCATCAACCCTCCATGTTCTTTCCACATTGTTTAGGAGTGTCTATTGACTTTAAAGAAGGGTTTTTTTAAAAAGTGTGCCGGTGATTGTACGGGGAGGACAGGATGGGAAAAAAAAATTCAGCTCATGAATTTGCTTCAGTTTGCAGTTGTAGGTATACAGTACTTTCCTGAGAATCAGCCCCATTAAAGTTGGTGGGTCTCCTGCTACATATACCTATGTTTTGCATACTGTATATACATTCATGTTTTCAAATTAATGACTGGATCCAATGAAATTTGTCAACATATCATATTCAAAAAAGGAAAAGCCTGGGTTAAAAACAATACCTGCATAGCTGACCTGGAGCACAAACAGCAGCACAAGTCCAGTTTCTAGCACAAATCTTTTGAACCAATATGATTCAGAAATTCATTCAATGATTTTACTGAAATGGAGACCAGAATCTAGACACAAACAGCAGCACAAGTCCAGTTTCTAGTACAAATCTTTTGAACCAATAGGATTTACTTAAATATTGAGTGACCATTCAGAAATTCATTCAATAATTTTACTGAAATAGAGACTCAATACATATCTCTCTCTCTCTCTCTCTCTCTGTGTGTGTGTGTGTGTGTGTGTGTGTGTGTGTGTGTGTGTGTGTGTGCGCGCGCGCGACTGCTTTTCAGTCTGACATTTAAACCATTTTTAATTTTTGTTATGAGTTTAACAGATTTGACATTTGAATTCTGGGGTGATTTGTTTCATTCGTTTGTTTTCTGTCAGCTACTTTCACTGCTAATTTTAAACAGAAAAGTGGAATAAAATAACACAAACAAACAAACAAACAAATAATAGATTCTGTTTATCTTCTCTTCACTTTCTGTTCTCAGTTATGTTATCTTTCACTGTTCAAAGTAAGAGAAAATAGAATTTGACTTTCAAATAGCAATCAAATAAGTGGTATCTGGTGATGCCTCCAGGGATGCTGTCACTCTGTGAGCTACAGGAAATGATAAGACCTGGATATACACATTATGGTAACACAAGCGACAAAAATATTCTGTATAAAATGAAATAAAAGTATATAATGGATAGCCCTATAAAGAGAGTGTCAAGCCTGTTCCAAAGGAATATGTACAGTTATGTAATAATTTGTAGCTAAACTTAAGTATTTTCAAAGTATGACATGTTTTATTGTTAAGCATTATAACTGTAAGTTCATTAAAAACTAAGCCTATCAGTGCAGAGGACAAAGAACTCTGATACTAGATCCTCTGATCTATCTAAAGTCCTGCCAGGCCTTTGTTAATGAATAATAATCATGTGCTGTCAAGTCAGTTCTGACTTTTGGTAACCCTTTCCACAATTTTCCAGATAAAGAATACTTGGAAGTGGTTTATTATTCCCTTCTTCTGGGGGCATCTGGGACTATGCAGCTTGCCCAAGGTAATACAGGCTGGTTATACTCATAAGAGGCACAATGGGAAATTGAACCTCCACCTGATACCTAAATCACTGAGCTATCCAGCCTAGCAGGGCAGAAATTACAGGAAGTACATGTGTTGTTTTGTTTTCCTGCTCTGCATAATGGGTTGGGTTGTTGTTTTTTTGTCCAATTTCATCTAGAATTAATAGAGACCAACTCCAGGGCTGGTCTGCATACATCTCCCTATTGAAGAGTGGGTTGCAGCCTGATGCTTAGACTGTATGGGAAAGGAAATGAATATTTTCTCCTCTCCTTTTCTCCTCGTATAGCATTTTTCATTTACTCTGAGCTCCATTCCAAAGCAATCAGATTTGTCAATTAAGTCAGTGTTGACTTCTAGTGACCAATCACAAAATAAATATGAGCTAGGTTGCAAAATGCATAGTGAAGCAAACTCATGCTAGGATAAACAGACATCTTTATTTTTCCAGGGAACTCCAGTTCTAATCACATGCTAATTTGATTGTCTGGTGTCACTCTGAGAAGGCATGAATCCATGGTCTATGCCAGGGGTCTCAAACATGCAGCCCGCGGGCCATTTGCAGCCCACCAGATGATAGTTTGTGGCCCCCGCCTTGCCTGCCCTGCTGAAGCGCCCACATGTCCTCTGCTGTAAATAGTAAAAAAAAAAATGCCTCACCTCGCTTGCTGGCTCTCTCCCAAGACAGCACCTCTTGCACCCTCCATCCAGAATTGCAGCCTGCCAGCCAGCCAGCCTGCCTGCCAGCTGGCAGGCTGTAGTTCCGGATGGAGGGTGCAAGAGGCGCTGTCTTGGGAGAGAGCTGGCAAGCAAGGCGCACTGCTGGCCCTTTTCCCTGAGTGCCTGAGCTGCCACCGAGCGACGCCTGAGAGCGGAACTTGCTCCAGGCCCGTCCTTGAAGAGTGCCTCCAAGCCGCCAACAGCAGCTGCCAACGCCGCCTCTTCCAGGGAAGCGTCTCTCTGGCTCTCTTTCTCTCTCCGCACCCCCAGCACCAGCCCGGCCAGTGGCTGCCTCAGCACCCAGCAGTGCTTCCTCCTCCTCCTCTTCGTCCTGCTTCAGCCGCCTTGGCTCTGGAAGCTGCCTGGGCTCGCCTCACAAAGTTTGCTCCTCTGTCATGGTGGGGGTAGCTGGTGCTGCTGAGTGTGCCTTTTTTTGAGGAGGGCCCTCCGAGGAAGGTTGCTGGACTCCGTGTGTGTATTTGTGTGCATGTGCACGTGCACACACACCTGTGCGGGCCCCTATCCCATTCTGTTTAATTTTGTGGGTACTGGTGGGGGCTTTTCTCCTTTGGCAAGGCAAATTCTGTGATTTTTAAAAAAAATTTAATGTCGTGCCCCCCCAGCTAGGCAGTCTCTGGCACTCCCTCCCTTCTCTGCTTCTTCATCCTGCTGCTGCTGGTAGTGGTGGTAGTAAATGTATGTATGTATGTATGTATGTATGTATGTATGTATGTATGTATGTATGTATGTATGTATGTATGTATGTATGTATGTATGTATGTATGTATGTATTTTTGTAAAGTTTTTATTATTTACGCTGTTGTATGTATGTATACTTTTATTACCTGATGTTAGCCGCCTAGAGTGGTCCTGAGTTGGCTAGATAGGCGGGATATTCTAGACCATGTCTACTCGGGGCGGCTTACAACATAAAATAAATCAATATAAAAATATATATATAATCAAGTAAAGAAGGAGTTGGAGGGGGTCATGGCCGGCGATGAGGGCTCACGTGCCCTTCCTCTTCCTCCTCCTCCTCGGAGCCCCCGCCAGAGTAAGTAAACTTCTGGGCAGCTTCCTCGGGCTCTTGCTCTGCTTGGCAAAAAATCTGATGCAGCCCAGCCTCACCCAGACTCTGCCTCCAGCGGCCCCCAGGTAAATTGAGTTTGAGACTCCTGGTCTATGCAGTGTTTCCTTCCCAGCAGCCACGTCTCCAACATACACCTTTCTCTCTTCTCATGTTAGCACATATTCACCACATAACGTCTCCAACATACACCTTTCTCTCTTCTTCATGAGTTTGGAATTTCTGCCTCAAAAAAGTAGCCACCACAAAAAATATTGGCCAAGAAAATGATCAAATCTCCCTCTCCAAGTCCAGAGCTTTACCTAAGATATTTGATGGGACTTCAGCCATTTCCCATGACTCTAAGGATGCTATCCCCAGCAGCAAAATATTGATGTCTAAATCAAATTAAATTGTATAGTAGCCCCCCTATCAATCAGTATCCATCATTTCACATCCACAATCTGAAAACAATAAAAATATTAAGTAAAAAACCCCAGCAATATGCATTTATATATTTCTATTATGTAATTACCAGAACTGGACAATAGAGGGAACCAGAGGCAATGCTGTTTATAGAATTCACTATTATGGGTTTCAGCATCTGCAGGAGCTTGTAACTGATCCCCATAGATACAGCTGTTGCATTGCAATAAGTACTAAAGTACAGCACTCAGTCACTCAAAGCTGTCCCTACTTTAAAAAACTGTGTGATCAGTGTTCAGAGCAGAAATGCTGCTCAAAATGGAGACTCCCCTCTCAGTTCTCATGTTAGCACATATTCACCCCATGAGATTCCCATGATGATAAATGCTCACTCAATATGCCTGGTGCTTGCTGGAAGAAGGCACAAGGAGACCAGACCGTACAGTTGCCATTTGCAGTTGTGACAATCAAGATGGGAGTTGCTCGCCCCAGAGAAGAAGCATTTCTGATCAAAAGTAAAGTTTCTCTGTCCCTCAGAGAAACACATTCCCATATTTGTGGACCAAACTAGAGAACTGCCTTTTTTAATGTCCAGTTTTGCTTCTAGGGCAGAAAAATCAAAGAGAAAGAGAAAGAGAAAGAGAGAAAGAAAGAAAGAAAGAAAGAAAGAAAGAAAGAAAGAAAGAAAGAAAGAAAGAAAGAAAGAAAGAAAGAAAGAAAGAAAGAAAGAAAGAAAGAAAGAAAGAAAGAAAGAAAGAGAAAGAAAGAAAAAGCAAGCTTCTGTAATGAGAAGCTAAATTTGCATCATCCACTTGATATAGTTCAAAAAGTACAAACAGAAGTGGTAACCCCACTCTTATATCTGAAGAAGTGGACTTGTCCATGAAAGCTTACATTAAAATATAGTGGTTAGTCCATAGACTGCCACAATGTTTTTGTCTTTATTTTTTTATTTTTCATTTGTTTTTGCCTGATACACAAATACTCTGTAACTTGAAAGGTCAAAATTGCTCCTTCCATCAGTGAGCGCTGGCATATGCATGCTACAGTAACTACATGGTTTAAGGCTATGAATGCTGGAGCATGCCATGGTAAAAAAATCTCCAAATGTCCCGTAAGCAACCAAAATTAAAATGTAAAAGAGGTGCGTACCTTTGGGAGTGAAGCCCGTGACCCTGAACTCTGTGTTGTCATAGTAAGTACAGTTGTTATACCTAAAGCAACTCTGGCTGGAGCTGCATCCATATTGATCCAGAATGACACCCAGGAGAGTATGACAATCAAGAGACTGGGTATATACATTTGAATGAGATAATAACCCATCTGCCTTTCCAGGTGGAATCGAACTTCAATGCAGGTAAACTTGCCTGTGTACAACAGAGAAAAACTGTTTAGTTGAACTAGTAGTGTTTCTTCTCCCGTTTTATAAGCAGTGCTTGATGCGGTTACAGAGACATTTAATTGATAGTCTGTATATAATGATATCCTATGGCAACAACTAAAGTATATCCATTTCTCTTTGTATGCTTGCTTATTTACTTAACTGGCTTCTGTCCAATATTTCGGGCATTCACCTTTCGGTGCTGTCTAAAAAAACCCAGTGGGTAAAACAGCAGTTTAACAAAATTGCAATCTATTTTTTAAAAAACAGTAACATTTTAACTAGCAGTAACAGATACAGCAGATTATCAAATCACAATCCAATAAAATAATCCCAAAGTAAACTGGAATTAACAAAGCATTTTAAGCTAACGGCTTAGCATGTTTTCATCATGTACATTGATTGCATATTTATCTAGTTTATTTCATGGCTGCATATTGAAAATGACACCTGTGACATACAACTCTAACTCACAATATAACTAATAACAACAGGTGCTAGGGACAAAGAGTCGATAGATAGGCTTTCATGACTTCCAGAACATCTGTTAGTAGTTGACACTTAAAAAAATAATGCTAAAATAGGGAGATCTTTAGTCTGATCCATCAGGGATGTCCTTGTGTTCTGAATTTAGACAGTCAGTTATTTAACCATTTATTTTTAAGGTGAACAACCTGGGGATTTTTTTTTCATGTACGACAATCTACATTTATTCAAATACAGTCATGTCATCTTTTGGTTGCTGCACAATGCTGCACAATGGTGGATTTTTTCACTTAACTAGGGCTTATTTTTGGGGTAGGGCTTATATTATGAGCATCCTGAAAAATCGTACTAGGGCTTATTTTCATGTTAGGTCTTATTTTTGGGAAAACAGGGTATTTACGTACTCTCAGTTTTCATCGTGACAAAATATCTATTGCTTTGGTGTTCCTCATGGCATGAGAAGTGAAAAAATAAATATGTTGTTAATATTTACTTATTTAAAGTAAATATTTAAAGTAAATATTCCGCATGATATGCCTGCAGGATTTGCAAGAGAGCTTCTTATGCAAGCAATTTTGTGAGCCCTGGATGATTAGAAGTGACTTTGGAGAAATTTGTTTTGGACAAAGAAATCCTAGCTGAGGTTTGTACCGAAGCAAACACAGAGTTTCTGTTATGCAGAGTTCAAAAATACTATGTTGGGTTTCTGATGAGTGTAAGTTACTGTACAAAGTAACAAGGTCAGCTCAAGCTATTTTGCTCCCTGAGGTGAAGCAGCAAATGAAATCCACTGCCCCAAATCAAAGTGCTCAGTACTCAGGGCTGGTCAAGCCTGGGGTTTTGTTTTGCTTTGTGGAGTGTCTCTGAGGCACAGAAGCCAACAAGAACTCTTTTCTTTTCATGGCAGTGGAAAAAAAAGCAGAACAACTACTCATTTGATGTCATGACAACACAAATCAGCTGCCTCAGACTGCAAGCCTACATAAACTAATTTTACTCAGTAGGACCTCCTCCTGAGAAAACATATATAGGATTATGCTGTAAGGCAATCATCTGATTTTCCTTAATATTAAGGCCACTCCTGACAGCAAACATTGAAAACAAGTTGAATGCAAAAAAGGAATTAAAAAGTGAAGCAAAATATTGTTCTCCATGTGTGAGATAAGCATTCAATGGTTGTTTTGGAATGAAATTCTCTAGCTCATGGTGACATTCCTTTTCCATTTGTATTCTCATTATTTTATTTAATGAAGAAACTCGTTGAAAAGGCTGCCATATGGTTTATTTCACAGGTTAATCAACAGTGATGCAGCCTTAGATGTGCCCAATTAACACAAAGGTCTTTGATTTTGTAATGCTGTGTAGCAGCAGTAGTCCAGGCCTCATACATTTCTTTGTGAAAAAGGTATAAAACATGACTACCGGATAGCTCAATGGTTTAGATATCTGGTTGAGAGTTTGATTCCCCACTGTGCCTCCTTGACAAGTGCCAGACTCAATGATCCATAGCATCCCTTCAATGATCCATAGAGCTTTGCAGTTCTAAGATTCTTCTTCTTCTAAAATGACACAAATTTTTGGAAAGACATTGTTTTCTGGAAGCAGAATCTCTATGGCAATGCTAAAAATGGTTTGGCTAAAATTACTGCTTTCTGTATCTTATCATTTCTTTTCAGAACACATGGTACATAATTAAAAGAGATGTTGGTCTGTTCCAGTGGAAAGAATTTTGAACCAGTATTCAAATCACTTCAGACAGGAAGTCATTACACAAGTGTGTAAAACAAAACTCTGATGGCGAAACAAGCTGATGTCAGGAATTAGAAGCTTTACTTGAGCTCACCTGTATTTGACGTCGTAAACCGATCAATGTCACTCAGGAGGCTACAGTACTGTGGACTGCCTACTGGTAGACCAGCAGTGCCCCATTCTGGATGGGGATAGCCTAGTGCCACTGGTCTACACTCTGGGAACCTCTACTTAAGTTACTACAACACATTGTACATTGGGATGCCTTTGGAGATGCTTTTGGTAACTGTACATATTGCAGAATTTAGCATCTAAGGCTGTTGACATGGATAAACTAATATAAACATGCAAACTTTTTATTGTATTGATTATGGTTTTTATAGATTTAGAAGTCTTTGTTAAATTAATTACCTGTCTGTAAATTGTGAATTAATTCAGAATTGCTTTTTTCTGTGGAAAGTGGCCCATGGATTTGATAAATATAATGGTAGTTGCTCTTCTATAGGTACTGTGGTCTAAAAAAGAAGGCTCACTTGATTCTAAAGTCCTAGTGAGGGCTCACATTTGAGGATCAGTTCTTCAGTTGCTGGGCAACGATCACAGCCATGATGTCCCATACATAACCCCAGCTCTCCTCCTATAGTTCATTGCCACTCAGAGATTACAAGGTTTGGTTACCTGGCTGAGTAGCTTTAATGATTAACAGCCAAAGGTGGTTTGTGGAGTGGCAGGGAAAGACTTTGGCCCATAATTAGAGGGGGGGCTCTTTCTGTCTTGTCACAAGCCATCTATACTAAAGTCACATTAAAGAGCAACAGCTATCTTTTAGATTGCCAAGAGATTAAACATTTCACCTACCTGTGTTATAATGCTTGGTACAATAACACAGATCTTTATCTTCTTTCAACAGAAACTGTGGCAAAGTGAGCCCGTCTGCTACTTGCACAGCACCATTTTCTTGCCATTCAAAAATGAGATCATTCATTGTATATCCAACTAGAAAAGCAAAACAAGGTGAAATTTTTATCAAAAGGAAACAAGTGTGTCAAAGTCCAATAAATAAAGTCCCAAAAAACAAAACAAACACCCACACACTGTCACATGGATATCTCAATATAATTTATGCATGTCAGTTAAGAAAGCCTTTGAGATTACTTTTTCATCATGAATCAATATTAATGAATTCTGGTCTGGAAAATAAGTACAGGAAAAACAAAAATGCTGTACCAATCACCGTTTACATGGATGGGTGCTGCTAAATTATCCATCATTACCAGATACACCATAGCAATGCTGCAGAAGGATGTTCCAATGTCTGTAAAGGTGTAATACTGTGGTGAGATTTCTCTCTCTCTCTCTCTCTCTCTCACTCACACACACACACACACACACACACAGAGAGAGAGAGAGAGAGAGAGAGAGAGAGAGAGAGTATGGCATCCTTGTGATATTTGGACCAACTGAGGGTGGTATATGGACTAATCTGGATGCCTTCTAGTTTACAGTGCAATAAAAATAATTGAAACAGGGTCGAAATCAAATATTGTGTTCAATACATGCACACAATAGTAATTCAGCACTTCTGTCGATAGATAACTCAAGCTGATGGTCATGAAAATCTGGCAAGCATGAAAAGTGTCTTACAAACCATTATGTATGACACAGAAGCTACAGCATGAGGACTAAGATTTACACACTTTTTGTTGATACATAGCTTTTTTGTGTGTGACCAACCCTCATCAGAAAAAAGAGGAAATCTGCCATGAAGTCTGATTCAAGTTTCGACACAGGCTTGCAATGTCCCCTTGCTATTCTGTTAGGCCTCCAATGAACCCTAGTAGGACATTTTTGGATGGGAATCAGTATAAGTCATGTAATTTAGAAAGCACTGTAATAGCTTGAAATTGCCAAGTCTGTTTTCCACAGTGTTTAAGGATACCTTCAAATGAAGCGTGCAGGCAACAGCGTGGGCTGCTCCCAACCATTCTGCTGCTTGTTTGAACTCCAAAAGATGGAAACCCAAGCCAAGCTTGAGTGATATGTCCAGTCAAGAAGCTGGAGGAAAATGGCTGATCAAGTATACCAGCGGTTGACTCCGGATTTGCAAGGTGGAAAGAGCCAAGCAGCCAAAAAACTACAGATGGCCATGCTTGCTTTCAAATGACACACTGACTACAAATGGTTTCTTGTCTTCAAACCTATGCCCACGAAATTACCCACCTCAATGTTTTAGGTGATGATTAGCTATACATCTCAATCTGACAGTAAGATAATGCAGGGTAATTTCTGGATGCATTGAGCTGACTTCATATTCAAACCAAAAGATTAGTAAGATAACATTTTGTACAATCAGTATGCTAACTCACACTCCATTTCTAACACAGAATAATGCTGTTCCTTAAATTTGTCTGAAGACCATAGCTTCTGGGCACACAGTCTTTTTGAACATATGGAATGGAGGCTCAGGTGCATACACATGTATATGCAAATTACATGGGGTACATGTACACATGTGTAGGTGCGCACATACGTCCCCATTTTCCACTGAGATTGTTGTTAACTCAACCCTACTAGCTGTGGGCAAACAGATGTCTTGGAATCCAGGGAACAGTGCCTAACCATGACCACAGCCCAGCTGGGCTCTGGGGGTTGCTATTGCACATGAAGACGTGAACACAAGTGCACAAAAGTTTGTGACAAAGGAAACCCAGTTGTCTTTAAGGTGCTACAAGACTCTATTCCTTTTGCTACAACAGCCTAACAGAACTAACCCCCTGCCCTGAGAAAAATGTCTTCTTTATTATTATTTCTTACTTGCTGGTGGAAGAAGATATACTGCAAATAAGTGGCAAACTTTTTAAAATTCAGCTTTGGATCACCTGTACGTTCTCTTATCATAATATTGTTTATAATACATAATGATGGCTGTAAAGCAAAAAATTCTTGTCTGTATTACTTGTCTTGGTTTGCTATCACGTGCTCTTATGAGTTGAGTTTTTAAACAACATTTTAACTCTTAAAATGGGATTGTAACATATATATCTTGCTGCTGCATTTTTAAATGCACAACGTCGCACAGTATCACCCAATCACAAATCCATAGAGGAACCTTACAGAGAGAGATCCACAGATGCATATCTTGTATCACACCTTGTATGCATTCAGACGAAAACCAGCTGTGTGTAAAACAAATTAGCATTTGAAGCATGTAGATTATAGCCTGCAGAAAAATCTCCTGAGTGCAACTCATTGAACTGACAAGAAACAACTGCTATGTCAAAATGGATTTTCCCAAATGAGATTCATTCATTTAATATGTATTTTAATTATAATTATCTGCCATGACTACTAACTCTTTCCACGATACAGTTCATTTCAATATGAAAAAGCATGGCAATTGTTGATATCATATTTTCCCTTTTATCTTAACCTCTTTATTTTTGAAGACACAAGACAATATGGCAGTCACTTTTCAGCTGCTGTGTTTTGGAATCACAAAGAAAATGACATTAGACTTCTAAAGTCAGCGATAGATTTAGAAAATTGTAAAGTTTGTAGTTTAATTAGCTCAGCTGATTCCTAGGACTTATATTGTGTCAACACGCACATAATCTGTTCTAACATGGCGGTCAATTTACTGCCAGAAATATCACACATTATATGAGCATTAGGATGCTGCTACAGGCAGATATGCAACAAAATTTGTTTGTTTGTTTGTATGCTACCTTCCTCCCCATAGGGGACCCAAAGTGTCTCACAACAATAAAACTGTACAATCATAACTAGTTCTAAATGCTATAAAAACTATTAAATATTAACCAAGATTAAAAATAAACTTAAAAACAATTTTAAAAACATTTTTAAATCACTTAAAATATCTCAGTTTCATAAACAGAGTGTTCCCTAGAGCCCCACATATACATTATAAGTCTGCCTGGGAAGGGAGGTCTTTGCCTAACAATGGAAGGACAAGGGCGAGGGGGCAACCTATCTTCTCAGGGCAGTGCATTCCAAAGACTAGGAGCAGCCACTGAGAAGGCCCTCCCTTGTGTCCTCATCAAGCGAGCTTGAGATGCTTGAGAAGCTGAGAGAAGGGCCTCTCCGGAAGATCTTAAAAGCCAAGTAGGCTCATATGCAGTGATATGATCCTTCAAAAAGCCTGGAGCCAAGCCACATAGAGCTTTATGGGTTACAACCAGCACTTTGAATTGAGCCTGGAAACAGACTGGTAGCCAGTGAAACTTTTGTAATAAGAGAGTTACATACTCTCCCTAACTAGTGCCAATCAACAGTCTGGCTGCAGTATTTTAAATTACTGAAATTTTCCAAACTCTCTTCAAAGGTCACCCCATGAAGATTGCAATGCAGTAATCCAGATGAGATGTAACTAAGACATATGTTACCATGGTCAGATCAGACATCTGAAGGAATGGGTACAGAGCTTGATTTATTTTACACAACCTAAAAACCCATTGTTGTGTAGTGAATAGAGTAATATTTACCATGAGCTAGATGGATCTTCGTTCTCTTTAAAGGGGGGGGGAATCCCCCTCCTATCTCCTCCATTGCTTAAGCCTTAAACTGCTTAACTATCATGAGACATTAAAAGCTTCCTTCCAGAGGAAGGAAGCTTTCACTTCCTTACAGAGAGGAAGAGAGAGTAAGTTTTCTATTGCTTTTTAATTGCTGCTAATAAAATTCTAATTTTAAAGAGTTCTTAAAAAGCATTAGCAACAATTAAAAATAAAAGAAAACGTTAATTTCCCTTCTACCTGCCGTGAGAAGGAAGGAAGTTTTTCATTTCTTGAGATTGTTAAGCAGCTTAAGCAAAGAGACAGCATAAGGTATCCACTTTGGTTTGATCCCAGCAATCACATACACTGGGACTAAACCAAAATGGAGTGATCCTATCCACACAACAACAACAACAACAACAACAACAACAACAACAACAACAACAACAACAACAACAACAACAACAACAACAACAACAACGGCTCTTGGCAGGGACTTCAAGAGATGTGAAACTTATCCCATTTCAGGGATGGGCTGACCCTGTGAAAAAAGTTTTCCAAAGGACTTAAATGGGTAGGAGGGGAGAAAAAGTTTATGACATCCAAGAGAAAGAGTGTGACTGCCCATCAGAGCCAAATAATGAAAACGATCACCCTGGCATTGGTATAGGTCATGCCCATTTATTATTATTATGCTCCATTTATTGTATCTCTTAAAGTGAATTTTTAAAAGGACAAGAAACATTTTCTGTTTCTTTGAATGATGTAGAAAATACCCAATCTGCTCAACAACTATAGCCTACTGCTATACATATTTCAAGAAATACCCAACATTAATCTGGATAACCGATGCTTGTCTTTATTTACTTTTGGTAACCACTCACTTCAGTTTCTGCCAGCATCCTATACGTACCTCCATTTGGACAAACAGAATTGTGTTGAAATTGTATCATGTCATATGAGACTCCATAGCAAGAAAGATAAACCTTTTCCAAACAGAAACCCACGCAATCCATAGCATTTTGTCCAAATATCAGACAATTAGAATCAAACTAGACACTGCATTTATCAGACTTTTTCTGCAGTGGTGCTCTCCTCTGCAGAGGTGAAAGGTGTCCATCATAGCAAGTGATTTTTCTGTGTATTTTGGTTTTGGTGTGCCTTGCCTTGTGACTGGTTATTGGAAAGTAAACCCAAGCTTGACTTGTAAACCTGAATGTGAGGGTTCAGTAGTTTGCTCCAACTCTTTTTCAAAAAATGCACCCACTCTCCGTGGTTTAGAAATGGGGGTAACATTTATTGGGGTATTTAATAACAGTCCAGTGTCAATGAAAGCATTCCAAACATTCTCCCCCTTCGTCAACGGGTCTGAAGGGGGTTCCACTCACCTCCTAGCAAGTCTTTTTTGCATTATTTGGAAGGGGATGCAAAAATCACTGAAACAAAGATGCATGTTTGCAACACAGGCAATCTGATTCAGTT